TTTTCTAAGGCTTATTTTTTTTGAGGCTTCTTAAATAAAAAATTTAAAACGCATTCGCCTTATAAGCAATTTACGATTACTGATCAAATCATCTCAATAATTACATCATATTTTATATTTTATTGGTCTGAAATCTATTTAATCTCATCGTTCAACCTATTTAGCATCTAATATACGGCTTTTGTTTTCTATCATATAGGACATTTATTTTTGTTATTTCATTATTTTGATAAAACTTTTTAAGGCATACCGCCTTTGTTATTATCATTGTGGAATGGCTTACTTTAAACGAATCCAATAAACTTTTTCAAAGCATAACACCTTTGTTTTATTATTATGAAATTAAACGAATCTTTAATAAACTTTACTTTTCTAAGGCATACTATACTGCCTTTGTCTTTATTATAATGGAATGGGTTATTTTAAAACAAATCTTCAATTATTGCTACGAATTTTAAAAGCAAATAGTAATTTAACTTTGTAAGTTTAATTCATTTTTTATTATATACTATAAGTTTTTTAAGTCATATCATATCGCCTTTGTTATTAGTAAGATAATAAAAAAAATCGATTGCTTAAATTACCACAGAAATTTAAAAGTATAAGTTTTATTTCTTAGTTAATAGCAATTTAACTTCTATTAGCTTAATTCACCTTTTATTATTTATTTAATACTAGAGAAGATTAACTTTTTTAAAGTGTATTGCCTTTGTCATTAGCGAGAAGATAAAGAATGCTTTAATTATTACCACAGAAATTTAAAAGCAAACATCAACAAGTATGCTATTTAACTTCTATTAGCTTAATTCACTTTTTATTATATATTCAATGCTGGAGAAGATTAACTTCTTTAAAACGTATTGCCTTTGTCATTAGCAAGAAAGATGGTAAGGTACATTGGCTTTCAATTTCCAAATTATAACAAGGCGGTCTATAGCTCAACAAACTGAGTTTAGTTGAAAATTTTCCTTTAGTGTGAAATACTCAGTAATTTAACTTCTATAAGTTTACTCACTTATCGTCTATATTTTATTTAAATCCAGAGATGGTTAACTTCTTAAATATCTTGCTTTTCTAAAAAGTTGGTTTAAAATCATACCTTGTGTCGCCAAACACTCAAACTGGGGGCCACAAAGGTTCAAAATTAAGGCGTATGCCTTATAAAAAAAATATTCTGTACCAGAGGCGATTAATGCTAAAGGCAGAAAGCTGTTCTAACGTTTAATGAAAGCAGGTCCTAGGATTTTTAAAAGGACTGGATTCAAAAGTCGATCCGGGATCTAATTCCTATATAGTTCTCACGTAATTTAAGGATCGAATCCCTGCCGGTCTCTGAAGGACCGGACCGGCTAGAATTCGATCCCAAAGGACCGATTAACATCCCTAATTCAAAGATTTGTTTGTTAGAGTTTCATGTGGAAGTTTTTAAAATGTTGTTGGAATGACAATTGGGAAACAATTGGCATAAATATGCATTATTTTGTTGAGATCATTTAAGATCATATTAATTGAGGCTCTAGCCTATAAAACGTTGCCATTTTGCTGGAATGTAATATCTCTATTTCAAAGATTTGTTTGTTAGAGTTTCACGTGGAAGTTTTTAAAATGTTGTTGGAATGACAATTGGGAAACAATTGCCATGCTAATAATTACTAGATTAAATATGCATTATTTTGTTTTGAGATCATGTATATTATATTTTCAAAATTATTAAGATCATATTAATTGAGGCTCTAGCCTATAAAACGTTGCTATTTTGCTGGAATATAATAGATTTGTTTGTTAGTTTCACGTGGAAGTTTTTAAAATGTTGTTGGAATGGCAATTGGGAAAGCATATCGATACAATTGCCATGCTAATAATTACTAGATTAAATACTGTATGCATAATTTTGGTTTGAGACCATGTATATTAGCCAAATTTCATCTTTTTAATTAGTAAAATATGAAGAACATTTTAGTGTACTGTTAAATTACGATAACCACCATAATACTCTTATTTACCTTATATAAAATTTTCTAACAAATATTTTTTTTATTAGTTTTACAGTGAGTAGTGTCTAATATACTAATTTTCTCTATTAAAAATTTCTAAAATTATTGCTGCAACTAATTTGCAATGCATATAAACTTACCCAATCACGTGATTAGACGAAGATTCAGTTTTCAAAAAAAAAAAAAAAATTTGCATATCCAACATTATAGTTTCTTAATCCTCCCAGGCTAATTTTTTTGTAAATTTTCTAGCTTCATCAAGCGCATCCTTTAAACTTTTATCCTGAGGTTCAAACTCCAAACCTATTTCGAATGCATGTACAGCTTCATCATATCTTTTCATTTCCATCAAAGCTTTCCCTTTTCTAAAATATCCCTTGACATAATCTGGTTTAATTCGAATCCCCCATTCGGCATCTATATAAGCATTGACCCATGAATTGATTGCCATATGTGCTGCTGCTCTGTTGATTAAGCAAGTCGAAACATCTCGTCTCGTTAATTCACAAGGTTCCCAAACTGGTCGTTGAAATGCCATCTCAATTCCTAATGAATATAACCTAATTGCTTCTGGATAATTTTGCGCTTTGTAAAATTTATTTCCTTCTTCTTTCAAGCCATTAATTTGATTTGCTAATTTTTGGTTTATTACATTTGGTGGTGGAATATCGCCGTTTATTTGTAGGAGACTTTTGTGTAAAGCATTTAAGGAATTGAAGTCTAGGTTGCATTTGGAACAAGTCTCAAGATGATGAGGACGACAATAAATCATATCACCATCTATCATTAAATCAACTTGTTTAATAGGATTATCCATTTTACGTATTGATATTTGGCTTATGTATAACAGGTAATTGGCACAAAAATTTTTGTACGTACGTACGTAAAAAGTAACTATAGTGAAAAGAGAACTTATATGCAGTATAATTTTTTTGTTTTAATTTATACCATATCAGCATGCATCTGAAGATCAATCATAACTTATAAATAATTACAATGTAATACAGTTATATTATTGCTTTGTGATAGAGTAATCAAATGCAGAAATGATTAGTTTTCCCAAATTAAACCCGCCCATTAACTTGATTTATCGATATATATTTAGAAATCTGAACTTAGCACTTATGCACTTACATAGCACCAGGTATTTATATCTGATACATTATTAAGCGATCCAAGTCACAATTTAAAGGATGGATTAGTCGCGCAACCAAATTCAGCAGATCGACCAAATAGGGTCGAGGTGCATCGGATCTATACCGGCATTAAATAATAATGCCTAAGTCCTGAAAAGACCGAACAAGGACCGGTCTTTTTAACCAGTCTTACGGTTATTCAGTCCTCAGTCTTGAGACTAGTCCGGACCGGTTTTCATGAATTGTTAAAATAGCCAATTAAAATTGTTGCCGACGTCATATGATCTGACATTCTTCGCTAGCCAATGAAATGGTTAGAGGTTTAAATAATTAAGGACCGTTTTTGGAACCGAGACTGGACGGAAAACATTACAGCTGTTCTCATAAATTTTGGGACATCTGGTAAAAAATTGACCGAATGATTTTAGACCGATTCGATAAG